ATCTCTATGAGGAGATGCTGTTTGTCCAGGGCTGTGCTTGGCTTGTGCTAGCACTGCCCCTTATCTGCCTCCTTGACAGTCTCAGCCAATCCTGTGGGAAAGCATTGTGATAGGCTCAGAGAATCACTCTTGATGAAGTCAGCCAAGCAGGCAGATCAGGGGCAGAGCCAGCAGCAGCAGACTGGAATAAAAGGTAAGATTTTACTATATTTAGGGAGGTGAACGAGGGCCAGGGGGGCTAGATTGTGGTTTTAACACTGTTGTTGAACTTCAACAATCATGAAAATGTGTAAATCAAAACAATGAATGTGCAGGTTGCACTTAGAACGATGAATATATTTTGCATTGTGCTCTTCTGTCCAAGGGAACAAAATACTTTCATATTATTCCTATACTGTTGAGAATAATAGAGGAACCGATAAGAAGACAGGTAAATATATATACACAATAATCACATTTTTAATTCAGATATAACAAAATGCATATTTTCAGAGATTTTATATTTTCAAGAAGGCAATTTTATATTTGTGGACCTCTATGTATAGATATTACGGTCATTTCTTTAGCATCCACATATTCTGCAGAGCTTCACATTTGTAGAAAAGGGAAGTTTGAAGGTGAAGAAGGCCCAAGCTTACAATATATATGGATTTTGAGGTAATCAGATTCCTATCAGTAGGTACCTACAACTACAGGTAAGGTAGTTAATAGCTGACATTTAACCCCTTAAGGACAAATGACGGAAATATTCCGTCATGATTCCCTTTTATTCCAGAAGTTGTGTCCTTAAGGGGTTAAAAGAACAGATTCATCAAATATTAACTAAAATAACATCTACTAAAAATTGTATTTGTCATTATTTGTTTCACTTATACTTGTTCTGGTACAAATCAAAGAAAAAGGACTGGCTACGTTTGAACCCATTGTAACTCCTTATTTAAGTTAAGGCTTAGTAAGTGCTCGAGTAAATAATCATATAAACCTCTTATAATTAATCCCCAATTTCTTAATCTTGCTAGTGAATGATATATGTTTTGGGTGGGAAATAAGAGTCAAATATGCCACAAAAGAGAAGCGGCATAGATCAAACAAGAGATAAGAGAGCAGAAAAAAAAATTAATATTCAGTCTATTTTGTGGAGTAATATTCTATAGAGAGACACAGCATTAGAAAAAACAAACAATGTAATTCTGAGTCTTTTTCAAGTTTCTGCTGATCAAACAAATCATGTCTTATATCCATGATAGTGTTACCATTTGATGTCTGCTGCTGAGTGAGGGATGTACATACATTTGTACCTGCAAGCTCCTATTACAAGTAGCTCAGCCAGGTGACATTCCACTTCGACATTGTGTTTAATCTTTCCAACATCAAAGTGAAGATGCTTTGTGAGTTTGCATCCATTATACAAAACGTATATATTTTAGATCTGGGTAAGTGTCTCTTTTAGAAATGCTCTTCATTTGAGCTTAAAAAAAAAAAAAAAAAGTTTTCTTCTAACAGCTGCTTCAAAGCCGCACAATCTCAAAACGTTTAATAGAAACCAGTTATTCGGTTGTTATTATGTAATAAGACAGGTGTTCAAAGAGACATGTGTGGATTTTTCTTTCTGCCCACAGAATAGATAATATGTGATACATTATTGGGTGTCATCTACAAACAGGTTTATAAATCACTGATTCCAGTTTGACAAAGAGTCATGGTTTTAGATAGGATATGTTCAACTAGCCCTGCATACTTTCCATACCAAAATTATTCTTCACTAGGAAAAAGTTCTTGAAGGTACACATGTACACGAACACACCTAACACAATAACATTATTCTCCTTCTGCTTACTCACTATTGATATATCTCCAAAATATTCAACCGCCGTGAACAATGAGAATAAAAAACAGAATGAAACAAAATTATAATATCAAGGTAAATGATACCCAGAACTCACAATATTGAGGGCATGGGCAAGGGGAATGAGAAGGCACTGCATGTCAAAAAGTATAAGACCTTTCAATTGGCTGGAAGATTGAGGCAGAGTGACAGACGGTAGAACCACCTGTTGTGTGAGTTAAAATGGGGGAAGTTGATGCAAAAGGAGGACTTACTCAAAAGTTGATATACATCCCTAAAAAGAGAATTCTTTAAGGATTTCTTAAAGGATTGATGAATGGGTGATCATTAGATTGGATGACGTAGTGTAGGGTATTAAATAGAAGTTCTGCAGCTATTGAGGAATCCTGCAAATAAAAGATGGAGGTGCAGGTGCAGAGAGCAAATGCAGGTCGCTGGGGAAGCTAAGTGGCATGGAGGGCTGTGCTCGCAAACTAGATGAGATATGAACCTTGGGGTATAGTTGGTGAGAGCTTTATTAGTGGCAAGATTTTAAGTTCACTCTTAAAGGGTACAGTAAGAAATACAAGGAATGGCAAAGAGAGAAGGTGAGTGATGTGTGGCAGGGAATGAAAAGGGTATGCTATGGTGGTGTGACATTTGTAGAACTGCACAATTTAGTTTTAGTAGTGATCTTGATTTTCATTTTTTTTCTATTTTATTGATTAAATGTATATGCACAGAGTAAGACACATTGCAAAATTAATTCACGTGATGTACACTATGTCTGCTAATGGATACTAACACCTACCCAGGTAGTTTGTTAACAATGAAAACTAAGAATGCATGTTGTGTAGTCAGATGAACCTTTGTTAAATTTTTAGGATACCATGAGATAGAAGGCCTTCCAGTAACAGACTTAGGTAAACTAGAAAAATCATCAGCACTTTGGCAACTGACATTTAATGTGGATAAGTGCAAGATAATGCATCTTGGATGAAAAAACCCAAGGGCAGAGTACAGAATATTTGATAGAGTCCTAACCTCCACATCTGAGGAAAGGGATTTAGGGGTGATTATTTCTGATGACTTAAAAGTAGGCAGGCAATGTAATAGAGCAGCAGGAAATGCTAGCAGAATGCTTGGTTGTATAGGGAGAGGTATTAGCAGTAGAAAGAGGGAAGTGCTCATGCCATTGTACATTACACTGGTGAGACCTCACTTGGAGTATTGTACGCAGTACTGGAGACCGTATCTTCAGAAGGATATCAATTCTTTAGAGAGAGTTCAGAGAAAGGCTACTAAACTGGTTCATGGATATCAGGATAAAACTTACAAGGAAAGGTTAAAGGATCTTAACATGTATAGCTTGGAGGAAAGACGAGACAGGGGATATGATAGAAACGTTTAAATACATAAAGGGAGTCAACACAATAAAGGAGGAGACTATAAAAGAAGAAAAACTACCACAACGAGAGTACATAGTCTTAAAAGGCACACTATAGTCACCAGAACAACTACATCTTAATGTAGTTGTTCTGGTGAGTATAATAGCTCCCTTAAGGCATTTTCATGCAAACACTGCCTTTTCAGAGAAAAGGTAGTGTTTACATTGGCCCCTGTGGACACCTCTAAGTGGCCACTCCTTAGATGACCACTGGAGGAGCTTCCTGGCTCAGGGCTGCACAGTAAGCAGCCCTGCCGTTCAGCGTCCCCACACTCTGCATGGAGATGCTGAATTTTCCTCAGAGATGCATTGATTCAATGCATCTCTATGAGGAGGTCCTGATTGGCCAAAACGGCATTTGGCCCCGCACCTGTGCTGATTTTAGCCAATCCAATGCTTTCCCTGTGGCTAAAAAATGGCCATTTCGAAGATGTCACAAAGCTCCACACAGCAGCGCTGGAAATAAGGTGAGTTTTAAACTTTTATAGGGGGGGCTAAAAGGGATAAGCCGCCTTAATGGTGGATTTAACACTATAGGGTCAGGGATACATATTTGTGTTCCTGACCCTATAGTGAGCCTTTAAATAAGAGGGGCAAAGGTTTAAAAAAAAAAAAATAGAGGTTAGTGGATGCATGGAATAGCCTTCCAGCTGCAATGGTAGAGGTTAACACAGTAAAGGAGTTTAAGCATGCGTGGTATAGGCATAAGGCTATCCTAACTATAAGATAAGGCCAGGGACTAATGAAAGTATTTAGAAAATTGGGCAGACTAGATGGGCCGAATGGTTCTTATCTGCGGTCAAATTCTATGTTTCTAGCTTTTTTAAAACCTAAACCTACTTGTCATTTAAAGAACTAAAGATAAAACCGTGTTTCATCTGTCTCTTAGCCTGTAATTAAAAGAAAAAGAGAAAAAAAATGATATGCAAACATATGCTTTGCAACAACCAAGGATCTCATCTTGCAAGTGAGGACACAATCAGGTACTTGAATAAAGCAATGTAGCATGAAAACTGATTCCTCTCGTTCCTGCAGGCCACCTATAAACCTCTCGTGCTACACAATGCCATCTGCCAGCTGTCAGGGCTCACAAGTACACAGATGTTAATTCTCTTTATTATTTTTTTCTTCTTTCTGATTTCTCTTATTGGTAGTACTTGTGGGTTTAATGTTCTTTTTATGCAATATATAAAAAACATTGCAAAATTTAAAAGTAATAAGTGACCAGGATTAAAGAGTAACAAGTCAACATATTTGTTCAAGCAATAATGAATTAAATTGATAATGAATGTGCTTGTTTGCCGCAACATTTAATATTCATTGATTCTAAAAAGTAAGCCACCTTGCTAGCAGTTTTTCCAATTGATTCTAAAAAAAAAAAAATTTAGTTTTTCTCTGATTTTTCATTATTTACATTTTATAATGTAGTGGTAAGAGTGAATACAGTCAAACTTTGGACCATGAGCCGGTGAGATAATTAAAATGTACTTTTAAAACGTAACTTAATGCTGTGAATCGCTACTTAATGTGGACCCCCAGGACAAGTCCCTTTTATAACATGATACTTGAAGAACTATGACAGAACTAACTGTGACCAGGAGTTTGTGTTGCTGAGTGTTCCTATGGGTAGATTGAGGGATGGACTTTCATTGTTGGTGGCCCATTTTCACCTGAACCATAACAATGGTTTCTAAATTATTTACTGCATGTAGTTTGTGGACTCCTAAGATAAAAGCCATTTTACCCAATCTCCTGGACCTAACATTCCAAGTCAGGACAGTCACATTGGAGAACCAGTGCTCATCACTTTCTAGACCTACAAGTAAGTAAATAGTACAGCTGAGTCCACTTAATACAGTATACATTGAGGCAAGTCATTGAATTGCCACTTAAAGGGATACTATAGTGTTAGGAATATTAAGTTATATTCCTAGCACTATAGCTCCCTCGTGCCACCCCTCTAGCATCCCGCATCCGCAGTATAATGGTTAATAAACCCTTACTGTACTTACTCGGTTCCAGCGCTGATGTCCCTCGGCGCTGGGTATGCAATCTGCCCTCCTCCGACATCATTCGATTGGGGGGGGCTCGCTAATAAGCATGCACGACAAAGGCACCGAGTGCATTACACCCTCCCCATAGGAAAGCATTGTTGCAATGCTTTCCTATGGAGATTTGACTGACGGCAAATGTTCTAATGCAGAGCGTGAGCACGTCCAGTGTCAGTTAGGCGACTAAAAAAAATCACCTAGCAAGTAGGAAGTGTCTCTAGAGGCTGCCTGATTAACTTCCACTAGACACAGTCTTTACCCGGCAATGTAATTATTGCGGTTCCACAGAAACTGCAATCATTTACATTGTAGGACTAAGGGGAACAGGGTCAGTGCACAAATTATTTGACGTGTTCTCAGTGCCTACGTGTCCCTTTAAAAAGACTTTATAAGCATCAGAACCACTAAAGCTTAATCCAATCTCTTCAGGTTGACAATTGTAAAAACTGTCTTTTCTGCCAGGGGAGGAGCTTCAGACGCAGCGGGACTGGTACGCTAAGGAATATAAGGTAAGTAAATATATTTATTTTACTTGTTAAGGAATGGGTTAAAATCTAACTAGGGAAAAACACTAACAGTAGGAATACATATTTGCATTCTTAGCATTAGAGTGTTCCTTTATAATGCATATATTCTTCCACTGTGCAAGAGTCCTAGCTAAGACAAAAAGTTTCATACCACTAAGGCACTTAATTGTGAATGTCAAATGAACGCTGTATTTGTTTCATAACTGTATATTATCCTGTTGAAAATTAATGTAATTGTTATCCTGTTAATTGCAGTCACCTGCCATATTTCCTGTGTGGCTTCAAATTGATTCACCGAGAATTTTGACAATGTAAGACTGCAATCAGATTCCATGGGAATATAAATAAGGGCTGCATTATGGCTCCTGGTTTTACACAAAACAAATCATACTTGTGGGGAGTTTTTTTTGCACTGGTCCACATTACTTCCATCGAGACATTATAGAGGGCAATATTATTACTATTACTGAGGTTTTGCCTTTTAAAATGTGAATACTGTAAAACAACACAATGTTTTAGTATTCAAATAGAATTTGTGTGTCTGACTAGGTTTTTTCCCACACTGACTTTATCATCATAGATCATTAGCAGTCTGAATGTACCAACAATAATACTTTGTTTTGCATTTTGCCCTATCAACAAGAATTCCACTTCTCACTCAAACAGCAAGTATACTCACTGGAGTCCGGGCCAGATTAAGAGCCCATTGGGCCTTGTGCTGACAATTATGATGGGCCTTGTTTTAGAATTGTATCGACAGAAAACACTAAAACAATTATACCTCCCAAGCGTCATGTATCTGGTGGAGGTGGTGCTGGAGGGAAAGTTACAGGATATAGCTGTAAGAAAACATAAACCCTATGCTAATGTCTCACTTTCATCTTTCAAGTAAATCCATACCCTCTAACAGCAGTGTCTAGTGAAGCAGGACTTCAGTGGGCAGGGTAAAAGATCAGGGCCACTGACGCAAATTACATAACCAGAACATGCCCCAAAAAATCTGCCCGAGAATGAAATTAGTTAAGGTAAAGTTGACTTTGCGCATTATGCAAATGCTCTTACTGCTTCAGTCTCTCTTACTCTGTGGCATGTTCCCTTTCTTATACCCTTGCACCCACAACAGCCCCTATTTTCCCATGACCCTACTACAGCCCCATATACCCACTACAGCCTGTCCCCCCCCCGCATCACAACAACCCCTACCTCCAGGCACCCTCTAGGTCAGGGGTTCTCAACCTAGTCCTCAAGGACCCCCCAAACTGTCCAGGATTCAGGGATTACTGTGTCTAATGTGTTTTTAGTGGGAGGGGGGGAGGAGGGACAAACACTTTAGACACAACATGGTAATCCCTAAATCCTGGACTGGTAGGGGGTCCTTGAGGACTGGATTGAAAACCCCTGCTTTAGATCCTCTATACCCCCTAGAGCCCCTATGCCCAGCACCCACTACAGCTCCTACCCCCAGGCACTCTCTAGATCTCCTATACCTCCTGCACCCACTACAGCCCCTACCACCAGGCACCCTCTAGATCGCCATACTCCCTGCACCCACTACAGCCCCTAACCCCCTGCACCCACTACAGCTCTTACCCCCAGGCACCCTCTAGATCCCCTATACTACCTGCACCCAATACAGCCCATACCCCTTCTACAGCCCCTATTAACCACATTATCCACTACACCCACTATCCCCCCTGCGATTACTACTAATGTGATTTAGTGGTGGTTTTTATTATTATATTAAATCGCACTAACTCCCCGGCATTCAAGCACATTCACTCTCCGTACATATACACCCCTGAATTTACAGACTGTGCACACACATGACCGTGCATTCATAAACATATAGCCATATGTTCACGTACTCTAACCCAGCACACATGCAAACTCTATGAGGAGATGCTGATTGGCGCAATATGGCGTTTTGCCTCGCATGTGCAATAACCTTCCAATACCTTTCTATGGGAAAGTATTGGATTGCTTGAGATAATCAAATTTGATGATCTCAGCCAAGAAGGCAGAGGGGCAGGGACAGCCACGAGGAGACCTAGGCTGCCCATTTTTAACATGGGGGGACAGGACCTAAACGGCTATTTTTAAAGTTATAGTGTCAAGAAACAAGTTTCTATTATTGACACTACAGTGTTCCTCGTAACAGTTAACACCTGGTTTGTAATTCAAGACACACCCTTTTCTTATTTTTCTATCACAAAATTTGGAGGCCTGCATAACCTTTTCTTCATATTGCCATGCTACATAAACACACATAAAAATACTACAGTATTTAAAAAGAGGAATTAAAAACATGTATTTAAATATACTCAGAAGACATTATATATATATATATATATATATATATATATATATATATATATATATATATATATATATATATATATATATATATATATATATATATATATTCACTTACACCGGGGCTCACAGTGAATATGCACAAATAAACATACATTCACTTTACATGCACATACAATCAAATACACGGTACATCTATACCAGCATATAAATTGGTCTGCAGTGGGCCCAGGCCACTCTCACTCCGTCCATGCTCAGCAGTCTGTCTGTGTGTACTCGCCATTGTGTGTGTGTATTTAGCAGTCTGTATGTATTCAGCAGTTTATGTGCATTCAGCAGTCTGTGTGTGCATGTATTTAGTGGACTGTTTGTATGTATTCAGCAGTCTGTCTATTCAGCAGTCTGTGTGTGTGTCGGTGTGCGTATGTATTCAGCAGGTCGATGTGTGAATGTGTTATAGGGGTGTATATAAAACATACCCCTCTCGGTCTCATTAGAGATATCTTTGCCAGAAGCTCAAGGAAGCAGGCTGAAGGGTCAGTGTTAGGACCCGCTTAGGGGGGAATACCATGCATTGTTTACTAAATTGTGAATTGTGTACAAGTGACAAAGTAAATAATTCAATTTAAAAACAAACAAACATTCTCCAGCTAACTTTCAGCTCGACTATTTAGTCCTAAAAATGTAATATCCTTTTGAATGGCCATAAATTCCCATGAAATTAATAAGCTATTTTTATTTATTACAATTGTAATTAAAACATTATTCATTTGGTTAAAGATATATTCATTTATTTATTAATTTGTGTACTACTAATGTACATTATTCATTCACATAGCAATGTTTTACCTAGTGTGCACATTTTATTGTCACTTAAAGTGACTGTCACCTTCTAGCGTCTTTGCATAATTTACAAAGACCACCCCTGATGGCGACTGGTGTCTGGTGGCCATGTGGTGAAGGGGAAGGTGAGTTTTACTTACCTGAAGCTGTCCCTCGTGGCAGCCGCCATCTGCATCCGGTGGATCCTCTTCAGCCACTAGCGCTTCATCTGCCAGGTGCTGATGCATGAGAGTACATCACTGATATCTAAGGAGAATCCCCAAGACCCCAGGAGCCTCCATAGATATAGTCTCGCAATGAGCAAAACAATGCTAGCCACTGCTAGAAATGAATTAGGTAGTGACAACACTTGCCAAGTTTGCCTGAAAAATAGACTGAAAAAGAAGGAAAGGAGAACAAATTAGGAGTTAAGAAGAGGAACATATTGAAGTCAGGTAACTATATAGTGACAGAGCTGCTTTAATGGGTTTCTGTAACCCTTTTTAAACTGGAGGATTTGTACCGCACAATTCACTACTGGGCATTTCTAGATAGGTTCCCCCACTGAAATTATTTTTTAAATGATCATTATTACCTTGATTTCAGCTCTTGGCGATGCTCTCAGCACTGACCTCCCTCCTTTGTCCAATGTCATGGCAGAACTCATGCTGTCCAAGCACAGGCTTCTTATGGAGAAGGATGGGATTAATGGATTTTTATGGGGGGAAAAAAAGGCTGTAATGGTGGAAGAGCACAGTATGAGGGAGGCAGGAAAGGAAGGAGTGGTAAGCATAGCTGTACGCTGATGATGGAAGTAAAATACGCACAGAATTAACAGACAGTCCACAACAGAGTTACGCATGCTGGGGGTGCAAGTAGCCCCTGTCACATAAGTGCAAATTATTCTGCGCAGTGTTTCTGCTTAAATCCAGACTCCTACCACCATGACCACTTCAAATAGCTGAAGTGGTCATGGTGGTTGAAGTAGCCCTTTAAGGATTTCTCCAAGCACTACAGTCTGCTGTACCTGGTCTTCATTCCCTGGTAATTGGGAAAACTGTTTTACAACAGTTTGCACTCTTACTGAGGTCCCCATCAGTCTCTTAGACTCTCTGCTACTTTGATAACCTATATCCGGGTTCTGCAAAAGCTGCAGTAGATAGACACCATTGTCATTCATTGGCTGAGAGCATTTGCTAACCACATTCAGCCAACAAAGGACATTTGTGCATAAATATTTGCACAGAATTGCCATTAGCCATCCCGGAGCACTAGTTCCTGGCTGGCTGATGACACCCCAGTGACAATGCCAGAGGTGGAGTTACACCTCCTGCAGCAAAGGGATTAAAGGAATACTATAGGGTCAGGAACACAAACATGTATTTCTGACCCTATAGTGTTAAAACCATCATCTAGCTCCCCTGGGCCCCTCATGCCTCCCTAAAATAGTAAAAATCTTACTTGTATCCAAGCCTGAAGCTGGAGCTCTGCATGCTGTTTGCCTCAGAATAACAAGCTGTCTGCTGACATCATCAGAAGTGGTGGACTGATCCAATCAGAGTGCTTCTCCATAGGATTGGCTGAGACTGACAAAGAGGCAGATCAGGGGCAGAGCCAGCATGATTCAAACACAGCCCTGGCCAATCAGCATCTCCTCATAGAGATGAATTGAATCAATGAATCTCTATGAGGAAAGTTCAGTGTCTGCATGCAGAGGGAGGAGACACTGAATGTTTGGATGCATTTTAGGCAGCCATGACCGAGGAAGGATCTCTAACAGCCATCTGAGGAGTGGCCAGTGCAGTTATCACTAGGCTGTAATGTAAATACTGCATTTTCTCTGAAAATACAGTGTTTACAGCAAAAAGCCTGAAGGGAATGATTGTACTCACCAGAACAAATTCAATAAGCTGTAGTAGTTCTGGTGACTATAGTGTCCCTTTAAACTGGCTATGTTATGTCCCTTCTTTTGATATCGAAATGCTGCACATATAGAATGCAGGCACCATGCCCACTTGAAATAACTGAAGTGGTCATGATGCTTAAAGGACCGCTATAGTGCCGGGAAAACAAACTCGTTTTCCTGGCACTATAGTGCCCTGAGGGTGCCCTCACCCTCATGGCCCCCCTCCCGCCAGGCTGAAGTTGTAGGAAGGGGTTAAACACTTACCTTTCTCCAGCGCCGGGTTTCCTCTGCGCTGGGGTCTCTCCTCCCTCTTCGGCTAAATGCGCATGCGTGGCAAGAGCCGCGCGCGCATTCAGCCAGTCCATAGGAAAGCATTCTCAATGCTTTCCTATGGACGCTGGCGTCTTCTCACTGTGAAAATCACAGTAGAAGCGCCTCTAGCGCCGTCAATGAGACAGTTACTAGAGGCCGGATTAACCCTATATTATAAACATAGCAGCTCTCCGGAAACTGCTATGTTTACAGCAGGCAGGGGTTAATCCAAGGATTTGGCACCCAGACCACTTCATTAAGCTAAAGTGGTCTGGGTGCCTAGAGTGGTCCCAACTCCCATGACCGAGGACGGTTCAGGACCGCCATCGGCATTTTTGGCTTGCCGACCGATGACGGTCCTGAACCGTCCTAACGGTCCTATTTACTTACCTGATCGCCGTCGTTCCCCCGGCGGCGATCAGCGTGGCTCCGGTTGTGGGGAGACCGCCTGCAGCCCAGACAGTCTCCCCACACTGTGGATGTGGCGCTTAACACAGCGATCACATGGTCACAATAGGTGTCCATGTGTCTGCCTGCAGGGGACTGTCTGTGCTGACAGGCAGTCTCCCTGCTAGTGTAAAATCAGAAAATAAAATAAAGTTAGTGTTAATAAAAAAAATAAAAAAAATTATATATGTGTATATATGATATATAGACATATATTATACCTATATAATATATGTCTATATATCATATATATAATGCCATACTAAGTGTATTTTTATATTAATATGTACTTATATTAATATAAAAATACATTTATAATTAAATTACACACGTATATATATAATATATATAATAACTATATATATTGTATATATATATTATTATATATAATATATAATAAAATAATAAGTAATTTAAATTAAATAAAAATTTTTAAAAAAATTTAAAAAAAATTATATAGCTATATGAAATTTTATTCTAACTGTATTTTAAAATTAATATATATATATTTATATCAAAATACACTTAGAATGAATTTGTATATATATCTATGTATATAAAAATAAATAAAAATAATAAGAAATATACATATGTCCATATACAAAATTACATAAATAATTATATAAATATACACGTAGACTTCAAATATATAAATATGCATATATATTTAAATTCTACGTGCGTATTTATGTAATATTTTTACATAATTCAGTAATTTTATTGATTGCAATTTGAGGGACCTGCCTGCCAACCCAGGCCGAAATTCCAGAGAATTTAATTTGCTAGCACTGTATTTTACCCTGTAACGTTCTACGACACCCTAAAACCTGTACATGGGGGGTACTGTTTTACTCGGAGACTTCGCTGAACACAAATATTAGTGATTCACAACAGTAAAACATATCACAGCGATGATATTGTCAGTGAAAGTTACTTTTTTTGCATTTTTCACACACAAACAGCACTTTTACTGATGATATAATTGTTGTGATACGTTTTCCAGTTTTTAAACACTAATATTTGTGTTCAGCGATGTCTCCTGAGTAAAACAGTACCCCCCATGTACAGGTTTTATAGCATTTTTGAAAGTTACAAGGTCAAATATATGGGTCAAATATTTTTACATTGAAAATGGCCAGGTTGGTTACGTTGCCTTTGAGAGCGTATGGTAGCCCAGGAATGAGAATTACCCCCATGATGGCATACCATTTGCAAAAGAAGACAACCCAAGGTATTGCAAATGGGGTATGTCCAGTCTTTTTTAGTAACCACTTGGTCACAAACACTGGCCAAAATTAGCGTTCAATTTAGTTTTTTTACTTTTTTCACACACAAACAAATATGAATGCTTACTTTGGCCAGTGTTTTCGACTAAGTGGCTACTAAAAAAGACTGGACATACCCCATATTGAATACCCTGGGTTGTCTACTTTAAAAAAAATATGTACATGTGGGGTGTTATTCAGAGATTTATGACAGATAATAGTGTTACAATGTCACTATTGATAAATTTTAAAAATGTATGTTTTGAAACCGCAATATCCTACTTGTACCTATAGCCCTATAACATGCAAAAAAAAGCAAAAAAGCACGTAAACACTAGGTATTTTTAAACTCAGGACAAAATTTTGAATCTATTTAGCAGTTTTTTTCATTCGCTTTTGTAGATGAGTAAAAGATTTTTCAAGTAAAAGTCAAAAAACATGTATTTTTTTAAATTTTTCATCAGATTTTTGTATTTTTTTTAAATTAAAATACATGAGATTATATAAATAATGGTATGTAAAGAAAGCCCCTTTTGTCCTGAAAAAACAATATATAATTTGTATGGGAACAGTAAATGAGAAAGCGGAAAATTACAGCCAAACACAAACACCACAAAAGTGTAAAAATATTCCTGGTCGCAAATGTACAACATCGCAAAAACAGTCCAGTCCTTAAGGGGTTAAAGTAACCGTTTAAAGGTCAATGATTTAGTATCCTATCGTTATCACTTTTTTTTTTTTTTTTAAAGAAACCATAATTTATTTAATTTTTTTATTTAAGATACAAAAAATATAGATCTGACCATTGATTGTGCAGAAACAGATCTGAGTAATAGTTTCTGTAACTATTGGAGTGTTTTGGGCTATTAGACTGTTTAGGTGCTGCTCCAATTTCAGATTGTATCTTTATTATTGCTAGCGCCTTTTTTTCACTTGTTTGTTTTTTATTCATTGATTGTGCAGGACTAAATATGATGATGTATATTTCGATTGTGAGCTTGATTGGGCATTTTGTTACAATTAAATGTTTGTCTTGTTTCCTACTGTACAGCACTACAGCATATGCTGGCGCTATATAATTGCAATTGTATATCTATATATAGCATCCAGTATTCATTTTCCAAATGATTGACTTTGACCATTAATACATTAATTAGTCCTTATGGCTGCATGTTTTGATGCCGTTCAGTACTCTTACATAAAGAACTCGTTAAAAAGTTCACAAGGAGCCTTTCATGTCATGATCTGTACAATGCAGATGGGAAGCCAAAGCTGTACTACTGACAAGACAGCTGTTAGACCCTCTCTACCTGTGTCACAGTGTCAAGTTACGTGCAGTGTCTGTCAGTTCACTTCTGCTTTTTTGCTGCTGCCTCACACAGAAACTATTTCATACACAGCCACATCAAGGGAACAGGTGAGTTTCCCCAAGCCACAATCTTTGATATATTTACAGTCACTTTGTTCTCAAAAAATGTTTCATATATTTTACTAAAGTTTCTCCAGCTTAATTGGATTTAAGTACAAAAACTGAAAAAAATATTAAGAATAGTATACTAAACACATTACATAAAGCATGTCAAGTAATTCACATGGCATTAATGAAAAAGCCTAGTAATGAATTCTCAAATTGTACTATTAACATGACGCAAAGTTATGATTTCATTTATGCTTTTCTCTTTCCTTTATTTCCCTTAGCAGCAAAGAAAAAAATACAAAGAAATGCATGTAAGGCGCAGAACTGCATTGAAACAACAATAACCATTCATAAACTAGTATACTAGGAATGCGGAGGACAAAAAATCCTGTCAACAACGCCAGACAAGTGCAGAGATAAGATTTGTCTGTTGACCATCCATCACCTGTGGAAATGGTCTTGCATTGCCCACCCCAACCATGTAAGCTCATGTTGGCTTCTATAACAAGGTTTGGTTCTGAAGATGGCTCATCGATTCCATACATCCATATGATAGAGCGACCACATGAATTCTTCCCTGGAGTCTGCACTGAACAGGATATAGGTTTCGTAGGAGTGATCCTAACACAAATAAGAAGCCGTGGTTGAAGTGCTCAATAGTGAAGAGGAACTAGGAAAATCGATTGAATAGTCAATGCAAGGAGACGGATCATGCAGAAGAGTCGTCTGATAGAAAGCGCATTGTATCTGAGAAAGCGTCTGATTTATTTCCTGATCAATAATACCTTGTCCTTTGGTAAATGTAAAGTTTTATGTACATCATTCACCAGAAATTCTAGAAATTCTATAGTCGTGGGTGAAGAATTTATCAGAAAACCCAGTTTCTAAAGAAGATGAACTGTCCACGATAAATACAGAGTTGAGATTGTAATCGAAAGAGCATTAATATATTGTCTACGCAGGTCATTAACCAGACAACTCGGCTCTGTAGGAACAATATTACTGGATTGATGACCATGTTGAAGCACCAATGTGTTGATGACATGTCGAATGTAAGATGTGAATCTCCACTTTTTTCCTGCCAATGGAATTGGAGGAAGTCCCGATGGTCTACTGAGATTGAAACCATCAGATAAGCATGCTTTAGATAAAAAGATCTCCGACGCAGTGAATGTCCTAATTTTAAAGTTTTGATACCGGACAAATGCATTCAGTGGCTTTAAAATTATAACAGGACAAAGTCTACTGCACTTTTTTGGAACCAGAAAGTTTCCCCATTATAGTTACTGAATGGCATTTTTTTTTTTAGAACAATTGGACAAATTCATGTGCAATCAAGTCTTGATTGTTTTGAGCCAGAGGGACTCACTGTGGGATTGCATAGTTAACTAATCAAATCCAAAACTGCAATTCATAGGAGTGGAATAACTAAATAATTATCTTGGTATGAGAAAAAACAAGAGGGTAGGTAATTAAATATGTCTACTCAATATCAACTCCTAATCAGGAAAAAAAACTATGTAAATATAGGTATTGAATCTAAAAGAAAATCCACAGATATCAAATAGGGAGAAGTTTAACCTACAGGGAGCAAAGTATCAGGGTTGAATAAACAAGAGTAAAAACCAGAATAAAATGAAAACAAAATACTCAAATATAAAACACAATTTATGGATGAAGTCAATTTAAAGCACTGATACATAAGCAAGACAAAAAGGTAGTGCTTAGTTGGTCTGAAGGAGCATCAAAGAAAGAGAGGGAACTAAAATGATCTCAAGTCTGTTATAGGCTTGGTTAATATTGATTGTTATTTCTACCTTGCATGAATTTTCTCATATTTCTTCTTTGCTCCTGAGGGAAATAAAAGAAAGAGAAAAGCAGAATAGGAGCTGCAGAGTCTTTAATAAAATTACTGTTTTGTAACCAAGTATGGAATCTTGACCCCAAAAAATGCTTTAAACGTCTTCTTTAGGTTTTTTTTGTTTTTTTTTATAGTTACAGCAGTGGTTCCTGATTGAGTCCACAAGGCACACCAATAAACCAGGTTCTAAATTCTCTACTATTATTGCGCTTTACGAACTGTATATCTCAGACCCCAAGACGATGTGTCTGTTTCCTAGTTCTGCTGTGGAACACCAGTTGCTTCCTTTCAATTGAAGAGGCATACAGCCCCAATACCAAGATGCTCTAGAAGGATATACCACCTCTGGTGGTGGACTCTCGTCCTACATCTTCGCATCTCACCCTGCAGCCACACTCTCTTGCGGGAGAAGGAACAAAGAAACGCTCCAGCTTGATAGAACAGTGGCACTGCCAGGCCGATATAACTGACTTTGACCGCAGGAGCTACTATAGTTCAAGCCCAAGAGTGAAAGGTTACCACAATCAAAATGGCCTTGTCAACAATCTACTAAAACCACTCCAATTTTGGTGAAGAAGAGATATACTCAGGAGTGCACACACATCCCCCAAAGAACAGAAAACAGTGAGAGAAAACTGGAGACAAAGAGAACTGGTAAGCTGGGCCTACATAAGGTAAAAGGAGGCTCCTACCTCATGCACAAATAACAGAACAGTTGAGCTCCACTTCCTTCCAAGAAGACAACCCCTTAATACACTACGTGCCCATGGTTGGCCCTCCGCTACCATTTACCTAGAAGGTACCACATTGTAAATAATTGTAAACATTCACAAAAAGTGCTGACATTTATTTATGAGCACCATGCTCAAATTATTATCTTCACTGTAGTGGTTCATTTGCTTGTGGGGCTTGCATGGAGAACTCACAAAAAAGGTAGGGCCAAAAGGACTAAAACTCCTCTATACATTTGCTTGCATCTCCACTATCCCAATGTAAAGTTATGTCTGTATATGTCTGTGCACTGTATTCATATGATCTTTTTAAAGAATGTCTAGTTTTCTGAACTATTGTTACCTTTTGTTCTTTACCTAAAATACCAGAGAAGGTAGTGTCATTCTTTATAAGAACACCATCAGTAATTTTGCGTAACAGTGACCTGACACATTGTTCTCATTTCACAGTTCTTAGAGAATAACTACCTGCACGTTACCCTGCAGTCTCTAGTACACACCCGAGTGGTATTTCAGAGTCATGTTCTTTATTTTCTGCGAGACTTTTCCGATGTACGTAAGACAGTACTGCTAGATGTGTAATGCAAAGTATATGCATTGTGCTTTGTATCCTATTGACATCAATGGCAGATAGCAAGCCATGCGTGTGTATGATGCATAACGATTACTCCCTACATAACACTCTTAGACATGACCTTATGTTTTCTGCTGAAGAATTTATTGCACTAACAAACCCTTCAACGTTCACATTTACATAAAAAAACCTTTTATCTGTTCCTGCTTCAAAGACAATTATTACTAACACTTCAAAGTAAACCTCCTTAAAACGGTATTCCTTTGTGAGTAGATAGAATTCATTGAAACAACAACTTTAAACATCTAATCAAAGAACCACTATGATGTGATAAGGAACATATTCATGTACGTATTTATACTGATTTAGAAAGAATGTCAATTTGTAAATACATTAAATATGTATAATGTTTCTATCTATATCTATTAGACTTCTGCACTCCACACATAAATTTAGTTGGTCGATTTGGGTTTTGTCCATGTTGCATTCCAGTTTGGATGAATGTCATCCATCAAAAAGTATATTATCTATTGGTTACGTCTTCTTCACTCATGATCAATCCTCTTTTTTCCTACTAACCATGGACAGAACTCAGAATCATAGACCCATCGATCACCCCAAAATGAACTGCAAGTCATTTAACGCAGAATGAAGAAGTCTATCTATCTTTGTGTGTAATGTTAAAGGTCAATATAAAGGATAGAATATATACCTAAAATTATGGTCAAGTAGTAGAAAAGTATTTCCTTACCAGTAAATAAAAAAAGAATTTTAAATTATGCACATTAAATAGTAGAGAACCAAAGGTGTCACTTGAATAGAAAGTGACCACAAGGTTAAATTCCCAATCCACTCCAAAATTATAATAAATAAGAAAATAACTTTATTAGCAACTCTAAAAAGTACCAGGACAAATTAATATTTTAATAATAATATTGGTCTCTAATATAAAAAAAAAACAAAAAAAAACTATAAATCAGTTTTGTAAAAAAACAAAACAAAAAAAAAACAGATCCAGTTAGCTAGAATTAAGGGGCACAGTAAATAGTAAAATACGAAAGGCTTTTAAAGTACTTCGTAGTGCTGTTATTTACTTTTACAGATCTACAATCATTAAATATGCATAACATTATATCGGAAAATGGTTAGATAGATTTTTAGATCATCATAAAATAACATACTATTTTAATAAAGCATTATTTGCATGTGAATATTTTTTGTATGTTGATACAGAGATTTTGTTCATCTCTAGGCAGGCGTAACTCTGAGTTTCTATGTTCGGTCTGTTTGCAGAGGCATTACGGCTATGCTAATAAAAGCTAATGGCTGTGGTACCAGGAACACCTTGCTCATAATCAGCCGCCAAGCTCATGCCTTATTCACTGTGGAAAGAAATAACATGAACTGACACGCTGACAGCCAGTGTTAATGTTATATCTGTGCACCTTAATGTAATCGTCAATAAATGCATTAATTGAAGTGCTGTCAGAGTGCATTAAAAACCGTCATGAAACAAAAGAAGAGAGTGACAAAATAGGTGACAGTAATTATAGCAAAGCTTGCCAACTGATTATTTGGTGGGCTGTACATGCTATCAGAGATATTCAGATATGTGTGATCTCCATGAAATTCAAAGTGAGTTCAAAATGAATTTCAAGTTCCAGTTCAGAACAGTCAAATTAGAAAGATAATTCTCCAAGCCAACTTTGTTTTTACTTAGCCATGGTGGCCTAAAATTTGAAATTCACCTTGAATTCTGTGCAATCTACTTTAGTAAACCAACTAACCTGTGTATCTGTATTTGATAGAGGATGAAAGGTCATATTAATACAAAGGTCCCCAGCCTTGGGGCTCTGTCTGTTGTTGGGCTAAATTTCCACAGGATTCTTGGTTTGCAGATAATTTGGGGAATGTATACTCCAGAAAAGGCCTGAAGGCATTGGACAGATACAAAGCAGGGCTTTATCATAATAGCAAGCAAAGGTTTAGGGGTAAAGGTAACACATTTCTTGAGTGTCAGATTAATGTATTTTTATTCATGTACACTTAAATGGACACTATAGTCACCAAAACAACTACAGCTTAATGTAGTTGTTCTGGTGAGTATATTATGTCCCTTCATGCTTTTAGCAGTAAATTTACATTAAAGCATAGGGACACCTCCAGTAGTCACTCCTCAGACGGCCACTAGAGGTGCTTTATGAGTCAGTGCTGCACAGTGTGCAGCTCTGACATTTAGCGTCTCCACCCTCTGCATGGAGAGGCTGAGCTTTCCCCATAGTTATGCATAGATTTAATGCATCTATGAGGAGATGCCAATTGGCCAGGGGAATGTCCCCCAACCCGCCTTCTTGGCTCAGATGATCAGAATTGACAATCTCAGCCAATCGAATGCTTTCCTATCCTAATGATGTCAGCCAAGGAGGCGGATCAGGGATGGAGCCAGCACCGGCAGACCCATGCGGCACTAGAATAAGGTGAGTTTGGTCCTAAGGTTAGGTTGGTCCTAAACTAAATAAGGTGAATTGTTAGTGTAGGACCCAAGAGGTTTGCCTTGATGTGGCAGGTGGGCTTACATCTAATTGCCATTGGAGTGAACTAAAAACCTCCATTTATAGAAATATACACAGGGATTTGGAATAGTGCACAAATAACTTTTTTCCTTTGGTTTTTATTGTATGTATTGGGGCTGATGTATACTATGGTCATTGCTGTCGCCCAAGAGTAGTGGGAGTGTTAAGCGCAGGACTTATTTTTGTGTATTTGTATTTACCTTTTGTATTACACAGTCATATTCCAGTGCTGCTGCCCATCCCATGTGTTCCTTATTAAAGGTTAATAAGTATGTAGGAATTTTTAAAAAATACCCCTGTCTGTCTCAAATTTTTTTTTTACAAGGTGAATTGTTAGTGTAGGAACCCCCTAAGAGGGGCCTTTATGTGGCAAGTGGGCCTACATTTAGTGGCCACTGCAGTGGAACTAAAGACCTCCATTCAATATAAATATACACAGGGTTTTGGAATAGTGTGCAAGTAACTTTTTTATTTGGTTTTTATTGTCCTGTAGGTTTAAGCCAGCAATGTAAAACATTGTTTACATTGTAAGGATAAGCACACCTTCAGTAGCTGTCATACTGACAGCCACTAGAGGCACTTCCTGCTGCAGCAACCGAATAAAAGCTTGGTCACGTAACTGCAGCCATGACAGGAAAGCGTTGATTCAGTGGCTTCCAGTGGGCTAATTTGATGCATGCACGGTGCTTGCTACACATGCTCATTGGGTCCCCAATGCTCATTTATGTGGGGGGGAGGAGAAATAAGAGCAACTGAGGGAGTGTCTGCAGTGGAAAAAATATGTTGGTGAACAGGGGGAATGATGACGACACCTCTCTAGATAAGAACAGGCACACTACAGCCTTAAAAATAGTTTTGTATTCCTAACCAGTTAGTGTTTTGTTGTGATGTTTCTGCTTACCTCTTTTGGTGAGCTTTAACCACTGTATTTCTTTACTTCTATAGTTCACCCATATCTAGGATATGCTGTCATTGGGTGTGGCACCATTGCCCTTGTCACCTTAAATGATTTGAAATTGTTGGTGACTGATGCACCTGCAATTCATCCCTGGCGTTCTGGTTTCTTTGGAACACTATCTGTTGCCTTGTTTCGCTTTGAAATGGCACATATCAAAGTGCTAATTCTCAGACGACTGTAGCCGACACGTGCTAATTGGCGATCAACATAAAATGACTCACCTTTTAAACTGCATTTGTAAACGTGATTCATTTACTTCAAAGTTCAACTCCTTCTTGATGTAGTGCTTTTGCCTATTGTCCATTTGTAAATGTTTTGTAATGTGTTTTGTACATCTCAAGGGTTAAAAACCCTTATGTACACGAAGGGTAAATTTCTTCAGAAAAAACAAAGCAGTCAGTGCTTTCTATTACATCATTATAACTTCACAGAAACGTTCAAGTGCTTCATTATTGCAAAACATCACATGCTTACTCTGTACTTTAGTAATGCTCGGCAAGGTTTTATGCTGTTTTGCAGAACGCAGCAGGGGATGTGGGAACTTGGGAAGCACTACAATTTGATGGGAAACATTTGGATTTCATGACTTTTTGTGATCAAATACAGACTTCAAGTACATAAACAAATACAAGCTCTTGAAGACTTGCTTATCCTAGAAAATGTGGCATAGTGGTGTAGTGGTAATAGCCCTCGCAGCTATTTTAAAGAACAACTTCCCAACTAACTCAAATGGATATTGTGATACATCTGTTTCAAGGGCTTTTGTTTCCCACCCAGCAGTTCAGTGTTACAGGGAAACTCATTAATTTCACAGGATTCCTTTTCCTGTAATGCCTTGAGTGAGATTTCCTACTATGGATCCTGGGAGAATTATAAATGTGCAAGGCTTGACTCTGTTCAGCTCTTTTATTGATATGCAGCTTGGGAACTAAACATAAGTGATCATGTAACATTCATGAGAAAATCGTGACGATGATGAGTGGATTATAATGCAAGGATGGACGTGGGATACAGATGTTTAATGGGAAAGTATACCTCAAAGTAAGGGGGGGATTTAACATACCCTTTAATGGATCATGTGAACTGCATGTTTCCCACCCCTTTAGTGCAGAAGGACTAAAACATTTTGTTAGAGTTGCAAGAAATATCAAATTGCATTCTTTTTCCGAAGATCCTCACAAACAAG